CCCCAAAACCCCAAAACCCCAAAACCCCATCTTAATTAAATATAGGAATTTTATTTGATAAAATTAATACAATTTTAGAAATGAATCGAATTAAGAACGTAGAGCGTATTACTCAAAGGGAATTAGAGACTTTAACACCTTATCACGCATCCTGGCATTATGAGTACTGAGACTCAGCCTATATTTATATAGGTGGGCTGAATTACAGAATGAATGAAGGTGATATTGTGATTGTATTCTCGCAGTATGGTGAGGTAGTTGACTGCAGATTGGCTCGTGACTAAAAGACAGGCAAATCTAAGGGCTTTGCCTTTCTAGCTTACGAAGACTAGAGATCAACAGTGCTAGCAGTGGACAATCTCAATGGAATCGATCTATGCGGCCGAATGATCAGTGTTGACCATGTTAGATAGTACAAGATACCCAGAGAGTATTTAGAGCCAGATAAGCCTAAGGAAAAGAAATAAAAGCAACGCAATAGAGATGCAGATGGAGATGTGGATCTGTCTTAGGACATCTCAGATCCTGACAATGATGACAATGAAGAGGACAGCGATGCAAATAATCCTGATTATGAAGGGCTGGACGAAGAAGAGATTGCTAAGAAGAAGTGGGAAAAGAAATTGTATAAGCCAACAGGACCTGACGGAAAGGGTTGGGGCGACTTCAGACAGATCAATGAAAATGACCTGCAAGTTTTGTAAGAATTCAACAAGCTTGAGGGAAGGGAAAAGAAAAATACAGATAAAATTGATCCTCTATAGGAACTGCAGAAAATCAACAAGAGAATAGCAGATGTGTAATAGAAACAAAAGGAAGCTGACATTATAGTTGATGAAGATAAGCGTTGGGAGTAGTAGTTTAGGGAGTAACTGAGGTAATAAGAGGAAGAAGATAAGCGCAAATAAAAAGAAGAGATGCGAGTGCAAATTGAAAGTCTTAAGAAACTAATAGAAATGAAGGAAAAGAATAAAAAGGACAAGAAAAGCAAGAAGATCAAGAAAGATAAGAAAGAAAAGAAGGACAAAAAAAGTAAAAAAGATAGAAAAGAGAAGAAGAGTAAAAGGGATAGACATAATAGTAGAAGCCGCAGTAGATCTTGAGTTGTGTCCTTGTAATTAATTAACCAAATGATATTCTTAATTTCATAATTATCAGACTAAATAATATATATTGAGTGGTATATTTATGAGTGGGGTTTTGGGGTTTTGGGGTTTTGGGG